TCGATGCACCGATCGAGTGGCAGAGAGAGCCCGACATGGAGCGCAAGCGTCGTGCGTGTCGAGCGCATGAAATGCGTAGCATCGAATGAATGGTGGCCGAGAGCCCATGCCCGCTAAAAGTTCTACATCCGAGAGCACAATCGAGCGTCGGTGCACCACTGCGGCCACTGATGATTGGGTGGCATGCTTGGGACACCGGCCATGATTGACGTCTGACCCGTGGCCCCTCGAGACACGAGATAGATGAGGGATGGCGAGACATCCAATTTTCATCGATTCAGGTATGCAACACAGGATCTCGATTGTGCCTCCTGGGTACGATGACCGTATGGGGAGAGATTGAAGAGGATGACAGGTCGACAGTTCGATGCATCGAGCACGAAGCCTGCCAACATGCACAACCATAGCACCACTCATATGCCCATTGCGTACAAGTGGCAGCATCCACGCGCGCTAGTCCATAACCCACCGATCAATTACTCGACAAGCGAGCGGAGGAAATAAAGTACGAGGCCACGCCACAACCGCTTGGCACGAAAAAAACATGAACAAGGGGCACGAGACTGCCCTTGATATCTGACAGGCAATAACAAAATGACACCACCAATATTCACCGCATGCACAGGCTCAAGCTCAGCTCCCTTTTTTGTATGCATGCCAACTGATCGAGGCCATGGGCATCTGCCGATCACCGGAGCAACCAGTCACCGGAAAAAATGGCCGAAAGGCATGCATGCCCTGTATTTCGCTAGAGGGACGTTGCCCTGGGTGTACGCAATAGGAGGCCCATCATGCACACCTACTCCCCCGTGAGGGGGAGAGAGGGGGTGTCGGACCACCACCCCCTAAAGAGCATTAGAGATTTTACAGATATGCTACCAGTAGACGTTAAAGTGTCTAAAACGGGGACACTTTTTCCAAACAAGCATATCTCACACCGAGGGTGAGTAGGTGCCGATGGTGGTTGGGGCATGTGCCCGCACCAAGGGCCAGCGCGTGCCGATGATGGTCGATGCGACTGCCTGCACTAAGGGCCAGCGTGTGCCGATGGTGGTTGAGGCAACCGCTCGCACCAGATCGAGGCATGTGCCCACACCAAGGCCTGACTGTGTCGGATGGTGTTCGACGCAAGGGCCATCTTCTGTCGATGGTGGTCTAGGTAAGAGCCTGCACCAAGAGTCAGCTTGTGCCGATGGTGCTCGAAGCAACCGCCCGTATCGAGGCCCAGCGTGTGCCGATGGTGATCAAGGTAACCGCCCCTAATAGGGCCCGGCGTGTGCCGATGGTGTTCGAGGCAACCACCCGCACTAGAGCCCAGTGTGTGCCGATAGTGCTCAAGGCAACCGCTCGCACCAGGGCCCAGCGTGTGTCGATAGTGGTCGAGGCAAGAGCCCGCACCAAAGGCCGGCTTACACCGATGGTGTTCAAGGCAACCACCCGCATCAGTGCCCAACGTGTGCCGATGATGATCGACCAGCGTGTGCCGATGGTGATCGAGGTAAGCGCCCGCACTAGGGCCCAGCATGTGTCGATGGTGATTGAGGCAACCGTCCGTACTAGGGCCCAGTGTGTGCCGATGGTGTTCGACGCAACCGCCCGCACCAGGGGCCATCTTCTGTTGATGGTGGTCCAGGCAAGAGCTCGCACCAAGGGTCAACTTGTGCTAATGGTGCTCGGAGCAACCGCTCGTACCAAGGCCCAGCGTGTGTCGATGGTGCTCGAGGCAATAGCTCGTACCAGGGCCCAGGGTATGCCGATGGTGATCGAGGCAACAGCCCGTACCAGGGCCCAGCGTGTGTCGATGGTGTTCGAGGCAACCGCTCGTACCAAGGCCCAACGTGTGTCGATGGTGGTCGAGGCAAGAGCCTACACCATGGGTCAGCTTGTGCCAATGGTGTTTGAGGTAACCACCCACACTAGGGCCCAGCGTGTGTCGATGGTGTTCGACGTATTCACCTCGCACCAGGGGCCATATTCTACCAATGGTGGTTAAGGCAAGAGCTTGTGTCACGCCTTGGGTGGGTGCCCCAGGCACATCAGGTGCACCAGCAAGCGAGTCAGAGGTTTAGGCCCACAGACTAGGTGTGTTGGCGGGTATCTGTGCATAAAGCCTAGCAAATGAGTTCAGAACGCCCACCCAACTTGCAAGCTAGCCCGTGAGCCAGCCTGGCATACAAGCTATCCGTACCATATCCAAAAGGGCCCAAGGTGCTGGACATGCAAGGGAAGCTTCTGAAAGCAGGCAGGATCAGCAGAAGCATCCTGGCAGATTTGGTTGACCCTAAAAATCAAGAGTTAGCATCCTGATTGATTGTAATCTGTATAATCCCTTGATTTTAGCCTTTATTCTAGGGATATTGCCATTAAGTGTAGCTGGAGGCTCAACTATAAATAGAGGGCTGTTCCACCCTTATTGGTACACCATCAAACACCTCTGTTTCAGTGAATACAAGAGCATTTCCAAAATTTTGCCTTCTTATCCTATTTCTCTTTAAGTTGC